AGACCATTTAATATACATACATATGCATACACACACACATACACACACATATTAGAATACTGTGGTTCACATGGAAACTGGACAGCGAAAGTCCATTTCTATTGTCATTAAAGAACAGGTGAGAAACAAAGTAGATATGTGAACTGAGCTGCTTTTTCAACTACCCTTTTTAATTTTATTCATAAAAGTAAAGGAATGAGGCGACTGGAGAGATGGCTTAGTGGTTAAGAACACTTGCTGCTCTTTAGGAGGACCCTAGTTCTGTTCCCAGCACCCACATGGTAGCTAACAACCATCTGTACCTCCAGTTCCAAGGGATCCAACACCTTCTTCCGGCCTCCACAGACACTGTACACATGTGGAATACTAATATATGTGCAGGCAAAACAAATGTAAAAAGTGAAGGAATGAAAAATAGAATTGGATATAGGGAAAAGTAGGCAAGGATGTGAATGTCAGTGTTGAGCATCAGACCCACACTGCACCCTGTGCCCCAGGTCACTGCTCACCACACTCCTTGCAGTTGCTTCTGGGGATTCTCACTATGGAAAGCATTGTGGTTGGGAGAACCTACTGCAAGGAGATGCAAGCAGGAATCCATACCTGGCAGTCATATATTCTGTACCTAATGAGCAAATGAGATGTTTAATAACTGTACTGTGAAAATAAAGCTTAGAACAGTAAATTGCTGCTGAGGCATTTCATCTTCCCCTGATGCACACTGCTGGTCCATCTCAAAACTTCAGCATCATTTGTATTTCCCCCTTAGTGGGTCCTGCTGAGGAAACAGCATTAAAACCAGAATGATGCTCACTTAATTGGTTGTATAACCGTGTAAAAGCATTTACTTAACACATCAGCTTCTGATGTTGCACCAGAGGGTTGCCCGATGCATTTCTCAAATGTGTATCCTAGTCTCAGAAATTGCATGGTGGCTCTGATTGAAGCATGTGTAAACTTAAACTTTTCAAATAACCATGGATCATTAAGACTCATGGAAATTTAATACCACCTGGTTTTAGTTAAACAATTTATAGTTTGAAATAAAAAGAATAAAACAACCTTAGATATTATTATGGGTTTTCATGAATGGTTTTAAGACAGAAATGAACCTGGGGCTGGAGAGATGGTTCGGCAGTTGAAAGTACTGACTGCTCTTGCAGAGGACCCAAGTTCAATTCCCAGAACCCACATGGTGGCTAACAGACATCCATAACTCCTGTCCCAGGGGATCTGACACCCTCTTCTGACCTCTGTGGGCATTGCATGACACAGGTGCACCTACCTACATGCAGACTATACATTCATATACATAAAATCAAAAGTCTGTGTTTTAAAAGCTTGGTTGCTTCTCTGAAACTCTATTGGGAGTTGGTGGAACATTTAAGAGGTTGAGCCTAGTCAAATGAAGTTGGGCCACTTTTGGGGCATAGTCTCGAAAGGGATTTTAGACCCCTTGACCTCTTTCTCTCCCTCTCCCCGCCTCCCATGTGGTGTGTGTGTGTGTGTGTGTGTGTGTGTGTGTCCCCTGGTTGCCCTGTGGTGAGCAGTTTTTTTCTGCCACCCTCTCCCACCACGTCTCACCATAGTCCAAAGGCCCCATCTCTCACGACAGAACGCAAGCCTAGGATTTTTCAGATTTCTTTCCTGATCCTCCTCCCACTTGTTACCACTTTTATTGTGTTTGTTTCCCCCTCCCAAGGTGACATGACTTTTCTTGATCACATTCTGAAAATCATTCCTTACATTTGGAAGAGATCTCAGAGGATGTTGACTGTGAGGTTAAGATTATATTAAATTAGCAGCTCAGTGCCTTTGATATTTGTCTTTTCTTTTGCTTTGATACATTGCTCTGATAAAATCCATAGAAGTTTCCTTGAAAGTGTTCATGCTTAAGTTACTTATCAAGATAAATACAGTTCTCCAAAGCAAAGAGCACCTGAAATCTACCAACTGCAGAAAAGCTGAAAAAAGTTCTCTCATTTCTAGACACTGAAGAACAGGAATTAGCATGCTCCCGTAATGATTTTTTTCTTAGTCACTGCTGTTTCCGTGTGCCTTGAGAGAGTAGGTTGAAGCTCTCTTTGGTGTGTCAAAACACTACCCATGATCGATATTTGAGCCTAGTGTTTCCTGGATTTTTTTTAAGATTTATTAGTTTATATTTTTGTATATGAATGTTTTGGGTATATGTATGTAAGTCAGCCAAATGTATGCAATGCCCACAGAGGCCAGAAGAGGGCACTGGGTCCCCTACAACTGGAGTTTCAGACAGTTGTTGGTTGCCATGAGGGTGCTGGGACACTATGAGCTTCAAATAATCAAGTAAAGGAAAAAAAAGCACAACTTGGTGAGGTTATAGAGACTCGGATTTCCAGTGACAGGCTTAAATTGTCTGAGGTTCAAAGTAGAAAATGTTGACTCTATGCCAATGGAGAAAAAGTATGGGGACAGAATTAGTGCAGACCCGGGAGAATGGGGTCAGCTTCCCAGTACAGGATGCTTTCGTGGAAATTTCTGATTTATAACCTTACTTTTTCACTACATGCAATTTTAACAGTAGTGTTATCTAACTGGCTGCTAAAAACTCTCTCCTGGGAAATTTCCCTTATACATTCATTATCTTTAACTCTGCTTACAACATATGGAAAAAAGAAAATATTTAAGACCACAGACTGCAATAGTCATATCCCATCACTAATGAACTCTGGAAGACTGCTCAATTCCTTTGTTTCTGTTTAATTTATTGAGATTGGTTTTATCTTATTCTCTTGGTCTCCAGGGACCTCAGATTCACTTCAACAGAATAAAATGGAAGGACCACTAGATGGGATCCAAGACCTCTGAAGTCTTCGGATTCTGAATGTCTGTGATGCTGTGAATATTTCTTCAGAAAAGGAAGACAGTTGAGATTTACACACCCTGTAGAGTCTGGAGCCAAGATATCTTAGATCCTTTGCACAGAGTTCAGAGTGTCTGAATGAATGGACAAATTGTTGCCTTTACTAAAGAGAATCATTTGTCATAATGATCATCTTTTTAATGAGATTCGATTAAGGTAGTCTTCAGGCACACCAAACTGAGCCTCTGCCCAAGTGTTAGGTGTTCTAGATAGAACAGAATCTATCTAAGAATTTATTTCTGGGGTCTGGAGGGATGGTTCAGCAGCTAAGAGCACTGGCTGCTCGTGCAGAGGACCCTGGCTCAGTTCCCAGGACCAACATGGCAGCAAACAACCATCTGTAACTCCAGTTCCAAGCGAATTCAATGCCTTTTTCTGACCTCCACTTGGCATCATACGACATGGGTGTACTTACACACACACAGGCAATACACTCATACACATAAAATAAAAATAACAATTTTTTAAAAGAATGTATTTCTATAGTAATAATGGTAGACCATGCCTAAGCATCCCATTTCTCTGCATGCAAAACTGCCAAAAGTGGTATTAAAGATAACATTAAGGATTATATGACAAATTCTAAAATGATTCTTTTCTCATGTACTTCCTAGAACAAGCACAGGCCTTGCTAGAATTCCCTCCATGATAAAGCCATGTCTCCGCCATTTACCTTTTCTTTGTAAATACCTACATTAAAGAGAATTTATTTTCAGTATGTGTTAGATATGTTGCATGAGTCTAATTAAATATTTCAGAAGCAATTAATGTTTCTTTAAAACATTTTTAAAAGCCCTAACTATTAAATCAGTTGATCTCATCATCTAGGAAGCCTAGATCAAAAATACATAAATATGTACAGTTTGTTATTAGGATGCAGCTGCTCTGTTAAAGATAGGAAGAGCTAAGAGGTGCTCCTTGAAGGGAGAGGAGGGGCAGTTTTTGTAATAATACAGCTAAACTCAGATTTATCTAGAACCTGTGAGCCTTCTAGAAGGATAAACACAGTTTCGATGATGTAACCCAAAATAGGGATTCAATACATACTTTTTTTAAAGCTTTGTTTGTTTGTTTGTTTTCCTTGTTTATTTTGTGCCATATGTTGCTTGTTTTTTGATGGTGGAAGTTTTAGGTGTCTGTGTGTATGAACATGTGTGCATGTGTGTGTTTCTTGAGATAGACCCATGGTATCTAATAGCCCAGGTTGGCTTTGAACTTTTAATTATCTCTTGCCTCAGATCCCAAGTGCTACAATAAGTTCATTGTGCACCATCACATTGTTGTTAATTTTCGATGATGCAAACTTTGTGAATTCTGTTATAAAATTTGTACCTTCATCTAAACTATAATCATTATCTCTACTTTTTTACCTATTTGCAATGCTGGGGATTGAGCTTAAGACCCTGTGCATGCTAAGCAAGTGCTTTACCTCTAAGTTACATCTCCATCCTAATAACATAAAATATTACAGTAAATTATACATGGTCAAGCATCTGGAGGTCCAACTGGCAGCACACCTGTACCCTGGTTTCTAACGCCTACATTTGTAGCTATGATCGTAATAGAAATACCGTATGCACAGTCACATGCTAAAGAGTAAGGACAGGGATAATGAAGTTCTCTCGGGTTAGCCATGAAGAAACTTTTTTACTGGATTACCTGATATTAATTTGTAATCCACACAATCATCTCTGCTAAATCCACAATTTTTGTCCCTCACATAACTTAGAGTTTATTCAAGGTTATTGTACAATAACCTTGTACACCCAATAACCTATTGTACACCCAACACAGAAACAAGCAGCCAGTGAGCTCGCCTGACACTCTGATGAACAGTCCAGAATTCCCCACATGATTTGCAGTCCTCTTGAAATTACGTATTACTTGTGGGGCTTCATTTTGTGAGGCCTAAATCACAATCTGTCTTCCATTAGGGGGGAAAAAAGCCCATTAACCATGTCAGAAATAATTGCTACGCCATGGAATGAACAATGCCCCGAAGTCAATGCCAACCAGCCTCCCGAATTTGTTTATGTGAAAGGGGATGTTCCTTGGGATGTTTCATACATTACTTTCATCACCTTGTTTTCTATTCCAGGACCTTCTCTCCCCAAGACTCATGTTAAAACTGCTTCTCTTGGGCTGGCTGGAAAAGCAAGGTCCCCTCTGCTCCCCGTGTCTGTGCCAACAGCCCCTGAAGTGTCAGAGGAGAGCCACAAGCCAACAGAGGATCCAGCCAATGTAAGGGCTTTAGTTCAAAGTCATGCTGTGCAATGTGATCTAAAGCAGTCAGCGCTCGCCATCACCCAGGCCACTGTATTTATTGCTTGCCTACACTAGAATATGAACAGAGAAACTTAAAGGAAAAAGATTATATAGGGGTTTAGTTAAATTTAAATATGTATTAATACTTAAGTGAAGTCTTAGATACAAGATTAGGTATAGAATCTGTGACTTTATATTATCATGCATACACATATACACACATGTATTCATACAGGGGTGTGTGTGTGTGTATATATATATACACATTGTATGTATGTACATATACCCTTTCAGTAGGAAAAAGAAGACTATGTGGTCATTACTTAAAATTTAATCAAAAACTATATTTTTAGGGATTTTCTGGTTATTATATATATTGCTTCTAAAACCATAAAATAAACATAGAAATATAGAATTGAGAAGAAAATGCAAAACGATGAAATAAAAATCATTTAAGAAGAAAAATAGAGGGGCTTCAAATCCCAGCACCCACATGGCAGCTAACAGCTGTCCGTAACTCCAGTTCCAGGGGATCCGACAGCCTCTTCTGTCTTCCGTGAGCACTTATCTACATGCAGGCAATATCTGTCCTCCGCAAGCATTGCATGACACAGGTACAATCAAGCCTGAATAAGGAAGTTGGAGGAAGGATGTGAGGAATTGGGGGCCGGGGAGGGGGGGAAACAGCTTACCCAAAAGGAAGAGTGCATGAAAGAAGTATATGGAAAACTGTAGTCTTCCTACCCAAGGGAAAAGGTTTTTTTTTATGTTTTATTTTATTTAAAAAAATTTTTTTTAAGTTTTAAAAGTAGTTAGTGGAACACAGGTGACATGAAAAGAGGGGTGGGGTTCTCCGGGTGTTAAGATGTTTTTTAATATTTTATTTATCATTTGAATTTTATGTGCATGCAGGTGTTGCCTGCATGTATGTAAGTCTGCCCATGTCGTGCACTGCCTGCGAAGGTCAGAAGAGGCTGTTGGCTCCCCTGAAACTGGAGTTAGGACTGTTGTTAGCTGCAGTGTGGGGGCTGGGAACTGAACGCAAGTCCTCTGCAAGAGCAGCCACCTCTTAACCACTGAGCCATCTCTCCAGCCCCTACTTGTTTTAATTGAGGTTAGGGAGACTGAGAGGAGGACAGGATAAGTGGAGGGCTAGCCAAAAGTAAGGATATATATAGAAACCTTATGGAAATCTACTAATTTCTAAGCTAATTAAAATATATTTTAAAAGTAAATGGGAAAGTTTCATTAGCTAAGAAAGGGGAAGAAAAGAGGAGAAACCAAACATGGTTAAAGTAGAAAACTCAAAGGAAAGTCAATGGTGAAGGGAAAAAACAGAAACTTTGAGAGAGAAAAAAATAACTTTTCTATCAAAAATGCACTACAAAAGAGATTAAAAAGATTTTGCCTAAAGGCAACTGTTCGGAAATTTTAATGTGCTTCTGAATGGTTTTCAAGAGGAAGTATTTCAAAGAAGTCTTATGGAATTAATGTATCAGATAACGTTATTAGCAGGAAACTGAAAGATGAAAACTTATATAAAAAAAGGACTCTGTTTTGTTACATTTGAGTCTTTTTAATTTTGTAGACTTTGAAATGAGAATTTGCCACTTTCAACTAGATCTTCTTTTCTTTATGCACAATAGAGTTCACAAATTCAAGTTCACAAATATTATAATGATAAAATTTTAATAACATCAAAGAATAAAAAGGCCACATACAATCAGTCCTTGGTGAGTCATTCAATTACCAACTACCTTTTCTAAAATGATTCAGATGTGTTAGTCCAAATTCAAATGTGTTTTACATATAAAACACAATCCAATTCTGAAGGCATTGTACAGCACAGGTTCACTTACATACATGCAGGCCAAACACTCATGCATATAAAAATAAATCAATCAAATAATTTTCAAAAAATAATCAAGGCTACCAAATCTATAGTCATTAAAACAGACTATATTTTTAAGCAGAAAAAAACTAGGGTTAGGGATCCACTATGTGTTGACTACTTACCATCAGGCACCTTAATAATTCCATTTAAAAAGAAGATTGACTCAGCCGGGCGTGTTGGCACACACTTTTATTCCAAGCACTCGGGAGGCAGAGGCAGAGGCAGAGGCAGGTTGATCTCTGTGAGTTCAAGGCCAGCCTGGTCTACATAGTGAGTTCCAGGACAGCTGGGGCTACAGGGATATCTTGTCTCAAAAAGACCAAAAAAAAAAAAAAAAGAAAGAAGATTGACTCAAAAACAGCAAGTATGTATGTATTCAAATCATCTTCTTATTGAATTAAATTTCTGAGCCCAGGGAATCTGGGATAACTAAACATTTTTAACGTATGTGACTCACAGTAAATTTTGCAGGTCAACCTCTAATTTCACACACCATTCAAATCATGGTGCTAGAATCCACCCACACTTTTGCACAGCACTCTGGCTTGAAGCATGAGCTTTGTTTCTACTCACATAGTAAAGTCGTAATCTATGTGTTTCTCATTAGTCTGAGCAGAAATCAAGTTGCTACACAAAATATAGCACCTATATTATGTTAATTTTGACAAAAAGGCTGATGATGTGAATCTAGACAGGTATCAAAATAAAAGGATCTAATGTATTAAACATGTGCTGCATGCCAGATGCTGTGATATAGGCAGAAAGTGCAACATAGGATGCTCAGAATAGGTCATAAATAGATACCATTATCCTCATTTTGTGGAAGAGGAAAACTATACATCAGAGAAATTTACTAGTTTGTCCATTATTAAAAAACTAGTAGTTGGTATAATTTGACTTACATAAGGTATTTTGGACTGGGAAACCCTTTCCTTATTAAAAAGATAAAGTCTGGGAAAACCATATTTAATTATTTATTAACATCTCATTTCCTATTGCAAATTCATTCAATTAATACATTATGAGGACAGTCCTGCCTGTGGGTCCTTGTGTCAGACTCTAAATTATAAGTGGCTCAGGTAGCCATGATCTCCACCTTCATGGGAGGAAGCTGTCAATATGTAGCACTAACTGTGTTCTCGTTCTCTCTGTAGGTGTATGAACAGGATGATTTGAGTGAACAAATGGCAAGTTTGGAAGGGCTAATGAAGCAACTGAATGCCATCACGGGTTCAGCTTTTTGACACATATTGCAGAAATGTCGAGGTGAATTTTTTGGGAACTTTGCAGCGTACCAGTTATTCATCAACAGCACACCTGTGTCCGAGAACTCTAACTGACCTACAGGTCAACTATCAGGACCACTCAGTTAAGAATTGTATGAAGCGGTTCAGAAGGAATCAGCATCCCGTCCTACATAGGCATCAGGAATTGTACAAGGATGACTATGAGGTCCCTAAGCAAAAGCAACGATACTCTGTACTGCAAAGTCGAAGCTGAAGCTGCTAGAATAGTCCTGGGACTTTGTCACTGCAGTGACCACCATCTCATAACAAACGCCTACATTTCTTTCATCAAGACCTCTTGTTTTATGTATAGGTCTAAACTTAAAAAAATGCAAGTGCATAATTCAAGCCTGTCCACATGCCACGGCGAATCAGTGCAAGCTCACTATTTTTTGTTTTCAACTTTGAAATACAAAGCACTCATGTAAATTCTTTCATTCCATAACACTATAAGTTTGGATGTTTTCCTGACAGCACATAAAGGAAATAAGTAAACAAACAAAAAGCAACGATGCCTATAACTCATTCATCTCACACGAGTGACAGGTCTTAGCAAATGGGCATAAAATGTACCAATTTTAGCAGGTATTTGTAAATCAATTCTTAGTTAACATTTATGTATAGAGTACAGAAATATAAAATTCTGTAACTGGTGGCATCCTGAGAGGAACACATAGTTCCAGAAAGAGAATTCAACATGCAGTCTTCTCATGCATATGGTGATTGTGCGCTTAAGCTTATAATAGGACACTTTTCAATTTGGGTGGCTTCTGTGCCATCCCACACTGTGATGACATGTCTGAGGTTCACCAAGTCATCCATTTCAGCAATTTAGCCAGGAGAGTTCCCCAGCCCTTCACCCCAGCCACCCTGACTTCTCCCTGGCAACTAGCCTTAGGCCCCATGCATCCTATAACTTGCCAGCCAGTGTCCTCTATTCCACTGTGGAATTAGAAGACTTCCCGAGAGCAAACTTAAAAAAGAAAGCAACCTTGAAAGATAGTGTCCAACAGTATCTTTTCTTAATTGATGCCCCTTCCAACGATTGCATCTTCAGGGAGCTATGTAAGGCAACACTGAGAGATGTTAACCACAGGCTCTGTTGCCAAGGGAACCTTCCACACCATGCCTATGCCAGACTCAGGGAGGAGAGAGGGATAGGCACCACTTGACATCTGACACATCATAATTCCAATATGTATTTTTCAAAGCAGCATCTTAAACTGTGGACTAGAATTTTCAGCTTCTATTGCCATGCTATCTACAGCTTGGAACTAGCTGAAATTAAGAACATTTTCTGCTTACCCTTTTAGTTTATGAATTTTCAGCTGAATTTGGAGTTAATCCCTATTTATGCAGCTGAGTCGTCGAAAGGGAGCTAGTTTGCATATTTATCAGTTAGGTGACTCGAAAACCCAATGAGAGAGTTTCAGCTGAATTATTCCTTTCAGCTCTGCCTTTGATTTCAAGCTTGAGTAGGTCATAATTTTGAAAGAGCATGGCAAAGATAGGATCTTTACAACCTAATAGCTCCTTTTATTAGGTGGGTAATTATATATGAATCCCCGAATGAAATATTTTGAGCAAAATGGCACTGTAACAGAAGTAATAATTCAGATTATTTTTTTACAGTTTTATGTCGGGAAGAAAATCTGATGTCAAAGAGAGGGCTTGTTCAAACGGTTCATTAGAATGTCTGGTCCATTTGCAGAACGGTTCCTTCAGCAAGAGTGCTTCTTCAATGTAGTAAGGTTTTCTGGAAGTCCCTTCGAAGAGCTATGTGATGTTATTTAATGGGACAGAATATTCCTGTTCAGTATCTGGGCACTAAGGCACCCTCCACTGGCCTGAAATAAAGCATTTCCTAACACAGTATTGAGTCCTTCAGAGATCATCTCATTAATCCATTGCTTCAGTGAGGAAAATGTTTATTAACTTTCTCAACATCCTAGAATAGTTTCCCTTTTCTAATACACACAGGCAAGAAACATCCTTCGGAGGCATTGGATACCCATGAGGACCATCTAATGTTCAATTTGGCATTTGCTATAAATCTCAGATTTCAGGGACTGAGTTATATAAATCTGTTCTGTGCAATGTAGTTGGACAGTCGAGACAACTAGCATTTTCACCAAATTCTAGACCCCTCCACTCAGTCAATAATTTTAGAAAATGTGATCCTTGAAAGTAGTCATTAAAAGTATACGTTACATGTTTTCAGTGGGAGTTATGGTTTTTCCAGATTTCTGTGAAATTCATTAAACAAATACAGTGCTTTATTTTGGCAATTTGTAATACTAATAAGTCTTATTGCTGTGCCTCAAATATACAACAGAATCCTTGTAAGCATGTTCAGGAGGCTCTGATGTCATTAACCCGGTGATTTTCATATGCAATGAATTCAACATGATATCTGCAGAATTCTTGCCCTCCTCCCATCCTCCCCAAGTAGTTCACATGTGTACATGAAACCTGTCCAGATAACTTTTTAATTTCCTGGTCTCTTGATCTTTTAATAAGAAAAAAAATCTGTGACTGGAGTAAGATAGCCTCATTGTGCTCCTTCTCTGGGTCTACTTCATGGTATACAGGGCCCTTTAAGATTATACATTTCTCCGACTCACATAGGGCACAGCTTGACAGGCAGCCAGCAACCCTGCCCCCAGGATTCATTTCTCTGTGAGAGAGAAGAAAATCAAAGTTGGCAAGATTCAGGCTTC